TCCCAGCATGAATGTGGCAGCTCTAATATCAGCACTGATGACGTGCTCACTGCCAAGCCCACTGAGATGCTCGTCTCTGTAAGCAGAGGCTCTCCCTGCCACTGCTCAGCACACACAGGGTAGGGCAGGGCACAAAGGGAGGTCCCTCCTTCTGGGACAAGGAGGTCTTGTATCCTTTCAAATACCATGTAACCATTTGGCTCTTATTTTTCATTTTCAGAAGGATAAAGTAAAAGGAAATCCTTCAAAGCAAACACTTGTTTTGTTGAAAAAAGGAGAAGAGGTTGTGCTGCTCTTCCAGTGCGGCAGTGTTGGCCATTCACACATGAAGCAGAGAGGCACCTGGGGCTGCCTCTTCCCCCAGACACTTGTGTGGAAATACAAGGTACCACAAGGTGCAGGAGAAGCTCTTCAGCACTGCTTTTCCCAGGCCTCTTAAAGAGGACCACATGTGCCTTTTTCTCAGTAGGGAGGGCTGGCCTGAACACTACTCTTTCAGCTCCAGCTTCTGTCCTTCCTTCCTGGCTGTGTTTTCAGCAAATTGATGAACAAAATAGCAAAATCTACAGCTCTAGTGTGAGTCTAGATAACTTAAGCTGTGCAAGGAGTTATGGAGATGGCAATGCTATCTAATTTAGGCACCCCCAGTCCTTCTCAGTAGCACTTCCCTCTAGGAGGGGTGGCATTGCTTTCCAGGGTGAATTACTTGTGGTGCAACAGTACTACTTGTGCAATAAAGCATCGCTCATCATCTGAAAGAGTGGCACAATCTGGTCATTTGCAGTTTTTGAGCCTTAACCTGAAACATACACGACTGGCTTAAGAAATGCACCTTCGCCTTAGACAACCCTTCATTCCCCTCTCTACCCTTCCCTCCTCCAAAAACCAAAAGAAACAACCATGCAGCTGTTTCAATAAGGGATATTCCTTTTGCATATGCCCTACAGTGGTTCAGAAAATCAACTGGTATTTCAGGTGCAATAAGAATGAAGGATTGGACTTGGCATCATTATCTGAATTCATGAATAAATATGTACAAAAGAACTTTGTCCCTTCAAAGGGTCATGAGACATTAGCTGGGTTGACTTCTTATTTAGGACAAGTAAGCAGTTTAGTTTCTCAGGGGATTATTATAGTTAAATTACAGCCTCGTATGCTCTTCATGAGACAAGGAGGACACTTTCACGAGCAGCTTTTTCTTACAGTTGCAGTCGATCTTAATGTGTGAAGGACACGGCTTCCTATTTGTTTCCAGTTAATTTCAGAATTATTTTGCTTCAGATGTCTCTGAAAACAAACAAAACAAAATGACAGGATGAAATGGGAAACCTTTACATTTGGATTTAAAAATTACACAGAGAGTGCAGGTGAATGAGCTCTTGAGTCAAATTAATGGCTGCAAGTTAGGGCTCGTCTGTGCTGTAAAATGGTTTGTCAGTACAATTATACCAGCAATCCCAAGACTACAGCAAAAATAAAACTAATATATGACTCAGACACAGCTATGCCAGCAACTTTGCCTAAGTGTGTAAAACTCATACCAGTAAATTTTTCTTTTACTGGTACAGCTTATGCAGTTTAGGGAAATGTTTGACCTATACGGGGAGAAAGAGCTCACTTAGTGCAAGCTGTGACTCCAGCAGAAAGTTTTCCCGGTGTTTCTCCAGTGTGACTATACCCATGACACCTGTGTCACGTTGCTGGTCTGGCAGACATGGGAGAAGAGATACCCCCCTCTTGGAGAGAGGCTTCCAATGGGTGTGCCCTGGGGCTGGGGTAACAGAGATGCAGGCCTGGAGGGAAGTTAGTTTATAACTTAATTAATATTTAATGGAAATATGCCAGTGTGCTAAGACTTCACCAGTGGGCTCTGTTCCCAGCTCTGCCACACTACAAAAACGCATGTTTTAATCTGCCCTCTAGGGGAATAGCAAGATCTGTGCATGTAGGAAGAACATCTAAATAATCATGGTAGTCTGGTAGTGTTCCCTGCCTTTAGGGTCTCTGGTCCTACAACTGCTTTGAGACATGCTGCTTGAAGTCCTGCCTGTGTCAAAGCTAAGAACTGAATTGTAGCTCTCGGACCAGCACACTATTTATTTGCTCCCTCTCGACTCTTCCTTCCTTCCTTCCACCATTGATTGCACCCTGGAAAAAAAAGCTTCAGTTTGCACATTAGGGAAAAGTGAAAACACCAGGTAGTAGAAAAACTACCTAACAATGAAAAGAGCAAAGTAGGTGATGCCCCTAAATCTGCATTAAAAACTACTTAAGAGGAGAGGGACTTTCAAAAGAGCTGAGAACATACAACTCCAGTCACGGATTTGGGTTCCTCACTTCAATATCCCTGAGGCTGCAAAGTTTGCCTCAGCCTTTCAGCCAAAGGCAAGGGGAGCTATGAAAGAAACAGCTAGCTTAGAGGGTCAGTGGTAGTAAAGCTCCGGAGAAATGTCATAGAAAAACAGTACAAAAGGATTAATGAAGATGCGGTGGGGTCAGAAAAGTTTGGTTTCATTTATAGCACTGTCTGTAGCCTTCTGTTATGGAAGAACCTCCATCTCAGCACAACCAAAGTAAAAAAAAAAAAAAGTTCCATCTCAGTCTGTTTCATACAATTACTTTTAAAAAAATCAGTACAAATTGAAAATACAGAAAAGTGCTTTGTTCAAACAAAACAACCTCAACTGTTGAGTTCACAACAAGAGAAAAACACAGCTGCGTAGTTTTTTCATTCCCTATTGCATTTCTTTTCTACTTTTCTTTTTTTGGCTCTTATTTAATAAGCACCCAGGCTTAGTCAGCTGAGACTTTTCCAGTGCTTGTGTGCAGTTCAAGTCCAGAAAGCAATGTCCTGAAGCAGCCTGACACCAGTACTCATTTTCAGCTCTCCAGGTGGCCAGACCATGTTGTTTCTGTCCTTTTCCAGCCATGAGGTTACAAGCAGCTATCAGCACTGGAGACAGAAGCTGCTTTCTCTGGTTTTGCTGTTGTTGTTTGGTGTTGTTGCTGCTCCTGCATGCCTCCATCTCATTTTAGTTTGCAGGCACATGGGATGAGACATTATAGCAGCACCAGAGCTATTCCAGTTCATTGCAATGAACTTTCTCTCTCTCCATTTTTCTCATACCCAAGAAAAAACACTATTGACAGTTCTAAAAGGCTGTGAAACTGAGGGCTCTCCTCATTAAAAAAAAAAAAAAATCCCCCAAAAAACAAGCCATGGCAGTAAAAGGAAAGAAACTTGCATTGTTAAAAAGAAAGCCACACATTTTAAATGCTTTCAGGGTTTTTTCCTACTTTCTCTTGAATCTTTAATGAAAGGTTAAAATACGTTGATGATGGTTGTTGCTATAGCA